TTCTAGAGCGCTGCATTCTTCAGCTTGATCTGTTATCGTTATATTCCGTATTTTCTAGAAAATGATGCATTCAATAAATGTTATGAATTTAAACATGGAAAGGGAAAGTTAGACGCAATCCCTTGCAAATAGAACAATAATATCGATAATATGTAAATAACATGCATGTTTGAAATTTACTCTAATTTGGTATCTAAGTTTTTCCACTTTTTTTCGTAACTTTCAACAGTAGATTTCCATCTATCAAATTTGCCGTGTTTAGTTCATCAAGCACTGAGCAATGGAAACTGATGCTGGCAAATGAAAATTATAAATATTATGGAACTTCTAATGACTTCGTACTAAAGCTATCATAGTATGCTATTGAGTGTTTAGGACTCGATGTCTTCCATGATAAAATTATTGCATGGAATAAATTCAAACAGATAATTTTGTGTTGTGTTTGAAGCAAGGTAGCTCGAAATCGTTGGCCAAATCCATACCTCTACTTAAGCAACATTTTTATCAGTTCTTGAATACCTCGGAAGTGAAAATAACTTTAACTGAAAAATATGCAATCAGAAACAAGATACTAACGCTTCAGTATTTAATAAAATCTTGATCCCCATGTAAAAGCAAATATGATTGTTCATGAAATAGAAGATCACTGAATTCACGTCAACAATGATAAACACAACATATGCAAACTCTACCAGCAAGTCACAAATCATAAAGAGATCAACACAAGTAGATTAATGTGAATCAACTGAAATGACGTTTACATCGCGACACGTAACTAATCAGAAAACAAAAAGCATAAAGAAAGAACCAAAGCTGACTTTGACGAATACTCTTATCCGATACTGTACATGGAACAGACAAGAGTAAGCTTCTTCCTAACTGCACTGTAAACTGTGTTACAATTATAAAACATCGAAGGCAGCGAAAACAATAAATATTACTAAAGCAAAAGCAGAAAAAATGTTATTTGCAGCAATGTAAATGTGCCTCCATTCAACAGTGTAATCTGGTTGGGTATTGTCAAGATTTGGTTGTGAGTCATCATCTAACTGCCGTATGTAACTGGCTGCAGGATCGGGTTCTGAAAGCAGAACTGTTTCGCCCTGTACAACATTATTAATAATCAAAACAGAAAAATCCTGCAATTCATGCTAGGAAAATTCACTAAGATTACTTTGCGCTCCAAAAGATATTTTACATAACTTTGTTAGTACCGAAGAAATGAAATCTCTCTGCCCATTTTTGCAACAAAAAAAATCAAGGAAATCGTACCTATGCAACAAATGAGACGATTAATGACTTTAGCTGCTAGATAAAAATTATGTCGTGGAGGAAAGGTGCGCTTAACTCGACTTAATGCAATAGTTATCATATTTATCATTGTGCTGATGACTGTCAAGAGTACGACCGTTTCAAAAAAAGTATCTGAAATGCAATATAAAACTAATTCCTGAGTTCAAATCAAAGTTATAAGCAACAGTACTCAACGCTTGTAACCATGATCCGCCTATATTTCTCAGATAATGCACTGCGCTCAGACGCTTTTAGTAATCTGTATTTCAGTGACCGGTCTCCCTTTCATTCCATATTATATTAATCATGAAAATAATTGTTTTTTTTATCAGTAATATCTGGTATTAAGTCTGCAAGAAGTCTTCTTTTCACTTATTCTTTAAATGTGATAGTTATTAAAACCTTACAAATTTTTGGTTTGGTTTTTCCAAAACCACTTTCCGGCGCGATGGAACACAGAAAAAGAAATGATATAGTTTGTAATGAGAGCGCAAAAAGCTTGACATAAATTTGGCTGTTGAGATGACCGATTAGTGGCGAAGCAAGCATAAGTACAGTCGCGATAGTAACTGGAAGTCTCAAGGCTATTCGCAATGTTGACATTTCTTTCTTAGCGTGAACACAAATGTGAAGAAATTCCACATCTGAGCCACCCATTTTTGTTAGGCCTACAGTTTGATGCTGCAAAAGGAATGCTTTAATTGATAAACCAGGAAGTATGTCTAAATTATATTTGCTGATTCCACTGAAGATTCTTTTTAGATATGAAACTCTAAAAATCTAAATCTTTACAATGTATTATAAATACAAAACCGCATACCTCCATCATCCATGCAGAATGCTCTTCAGCAGAATTTTTAGGTTCATTAGGTAATTTCTTCATTTTGACAATTTGTGATAGGGCAATCTTGCCTTTTACTTGCATATCAAAACGAACTTTTCGACTGAAATCACCGATAGAGAAAAGTAAACAGCAATCATTCTCTTCTTCCGGATATCTGGAACTCATCTACCTGATGTAACGCTCAAAAAAAATATCAATTCTCATCACGTATAATCGAAACGAATACTACTCATTTGAATAGAAGAAATAAAGGTTTAAAATGAGCTGATTAATAAAATGCACTTGTAGTAGTCAACGGTACAAAAAGCAGGGTAGCGGAACGAATATAACGCCACAACTCTGCCACTTGAAAATATGTCAATTTCATGTACTGTCGAATAGCAACCTTGAGCTTCACTGCACTCCCTTAAAAATTATTATCACTAAGCGTAATTTCTTATTTCTATAATATTTTAAATATTTTAGCAAACAATGCGATGTTTAAAAACTAATTAGAACAGGTGAAATTTTAAATAAAAACTGATCGACAACCTAAACTGAACTAATAATATATGGCGCTATAATAGCGAAAAAATATGTTGGAAAATATAATAAAATTTTTGTAGGTCATTAACATCTACTCTTACCAAGTCTTCGGGATATAGTATATGAAATGAAGTATAGTTCATTTGCAGAGCAGCAAAATGCCTTATGAAGATGAAAAACCAGAAAAAATATGCTAAATTTGCTATGGATTTTTTGCACAGAAGTGAAATACTTCATTTCATTCCCACAATCAAAAAATATCAAGAGTCTTAATTTAATATAAAAATCATTTTACAGTAATAACCACTTCGTGTAAGCTTCTTATCAATAGTGAAGTTTAAAAACTACCAATACCGCATTCACTTAAAAAATTAAATTAGTAACCTTGAATAATACTCTTCATTGATTGTGGGTTTCCAAATATGATGTTTGTCATGTAATGTATATTCATCTATTTGCCATTCCTCTTCATTCCATTTCAAACGTTCATCTGTCCATGACTGAAGCCGCATTAATTATGAACATAGTGATGAAAATAAATTTTCATTGTCAGCGCACAACACAGTACAACAAGCATTTATAGATTGCTTAGAAATTTTTCGATAATTTCAAGACACAATATTTATGAGAGAAATTCCATAAAACAGTTACACTTCTATGAAAGAATGTATTCATAAAATACTATTTCAATAAGTATTCTATGAATAAATTCAAAGATCAGTAGCTATGAGTTTCACAAGAATTTATGATTGTCTTGAGAGCAGTAAAAACAAACCAAGTATATATCCCCGTAAATACTGAATTGGGATGAAAGTTTCTGTATCTGAAATAAGAAGTACACATTAAATTAAAGTATCCGTGGTAGAAACAAATGATTAGACCCACCAATTCGACACGTCTTACAATGACGTGGCTGACTGTAATGGTAAATACATCATCACTTGTAGTAGGAGGTTCGTCCAAATACAACCTTTAAAAAGCATATATATATGATGAACTTATACAACGACCAAGAATTTGAATTATAAATAATATAACAAAAATTTGTTGAACTGCCAGATGAACAATCAAGAAGTGTTTGGTAATGATTTATGCATGAAGAGTACTAGCAACTAATAATTGTACAACGGTTTTCTTAAAATGTTCAATCACAAATTTATACGGCGAGCACAAATAGAAATCAAACTAACAAGCGAGGATCTTTATAAATCGACTTTGCACGATGCAACAGAAAGTAGTAAATGCAGTCTTCCAATTTTTCAGTAAAACCGCTGGTTGAGAAATCTTAAAATTAGATCAAAACTGTTATTATGTAGTAAAATGAAGAAAGAATTACAATAAAGCTTTCATATCGACTTTTACACCAAATAACTCCGTGAAAATTTTTCTGCTAAATAAAAAATCGTCATTCCTCGATTCTTTTCGATCATATTAATGGAACGTTCAATTACAAATAAAATTTCAATTAATAAAACAGTAGGACTTTCCAAATAAAAACTAAAATGATCAATAGATAAATCGGTTATAAATTTATTCAAAGGTGTAGAACCTGAAATATTGAAGCGCCACATACAATCTTTTGAAGTGAGTGCTACCGCGCTGCGCATCATGAAGAGAAATAGAAGCCAAAATGATCCTTTGCAATAAACAACCACATCTTCCTCATTTATCGAACTCATGTTCAACTTCTAAGTAAATGCAGATCCAGAAGTATCCAGTCTGGTAAAGTTGCTTGCATTTACGCAAACTAACGAACGATATTCATGCGTCGCTATAGGCAACGTCCTTATATCGCCCTAATCATTTATTAGTGATGCTTTCTTTGAAATAACTATTCTATTAGTCATCTTCCATTGCTTGTTATTAAGTATTCTTTCTCGAGACACACAAAACTTCTATTCTCGGAATAGAAGATACGATCCAATTAGGGAAGTCTTAACTTTCTACTGAAAATATCTTCGTATAGACTTTTGACATTTAAGTCAAGTAGTTCTGCAGAATGAAACATTGATACATGACTGTCATAACCGATTCGTTCAAACACTATATTATTGAAACCTTTGTCTCCATCTTATCTCTATCTTTTCCATACAGTCACTTTAAAATCCCAGTGTACGAAACATGGTACGTAATACCAACAAAGTACTACCGAATTCTAGTTCAGCAGAGGACACCACTTTAAGATTTTTCTTCTAAACGACAGACTAACGAAACCATTATGTTATAGAGCTTGCTTTCAAATTCTAATTACCGCAAATAACTGTAAACAAATCCTAAACACGTAAATTCAATAATACACAGACTTTGCTCTCATACTTATAAATCATATGAACAAGTCAACTTCTGAAAGATAATATTTCTGAATAAAACTTCCTAATCAATTTGAACCAACTAAATCGGTACCACTGCTCTTACGAGCCTTATTAATGTAGACAACATCCAATATTGAACAATTAATGAAGTATGTTTTCGAAACATACAACTCCTAAGACCAATGACTTCGCAAACTATTTAGAAAACAACAAAAACATTATTAATTTAAGGAATGCAATTTATTCCTACGAAAAAATTGAGTAAGATACATGTATCGACATAGTACATTCGTGATTACAAGCCTAATAATATTAAAATAATTAACAGTAGGAGTTTATTACAACACAAATGTTGAAGGTGTACAAATTCACCATCTTTTAGTCGGTACTTCTTCTTCACCGCCTCTCCATTTCAGTTTCCATATCAATGGTCCACCAAAGTAACTTGCAGACTTACGATGAATAACCTTGTTTTGTAGACCCCATTCTGATATTCTCATGTACTGCCATGCTATTCCACTGATATATGCACAGAAACCCAATGAAATACCAGCAAGATAATTATTTTCTGAAAAATCTGGGCTTTTACGAATGGGCAAATATATAGGAGTGACACATTTGGAGGCATCAAATTCTAAAAGAAAAACTTACTCATAGTACCAAAAACCAATCCCGCTGCTGTAGATGCATACAGATGATTCATGAAGTCATCTTTATGCCTAACCATCGCTGCCCCGCTCAATCCTACACCCCAGGTAAAAGCCACTGTTGCTTAAAACGAGCATTCATGACCAAAACGAAAAGATGATAAAAATAATATGAAAAAACATTGCCACTTTCTTCAATTATTTCCTAACAGCAAATATGTAATAGATGCAGATTGAACATAAAATCAAAATAACGATTATTACACCAGTATAAAAGACGATATGTTTCTACGATATGTACTACTTTTCATTTTTTTACAGTAATACCATAAACTATGTTAAAAACTATTTAAAGATACTTTAAAAATTTCAAGATATCCAGTGATATTTGATTCACCGAAATCCATAACTTTTTGAAAACAATGCACTTAGAATAGAAGCGATGACTTCATTAAAAACTGACCTGGAGTTGGCAGAAGTCTGCAATATGTCTTAAGTATTGACACGGGTGTGACTGGGACAGGCTTTACCTCGTAGCCTCTAATGTGCAAACCAGTATATGGAACTACTAAAAAGTGTCAAGCTCTCAAAATTATAGACAAAACAACACTAAGAAATGTGAGGACAAATACATCAGTTTTATAATGAACTAATATAACAGGGGACACAAATAAGGGAATAAGCAACTTACTTTTATGAAAGCAAGAATATCCCAAAATGATGAATCAAAACTCACGGAGAACAGCGACATACTGAGCACAAGCTAGTCCTTTTATAATTGGATCTTCATTAAGTGGACTGTTGAAAAATCGAAAAGGTTTTGGTACCCACCATGGAGTTTCAGGACGCGCCTAAATATTAGTGTCAATCTTCCTTAAAAAGACACAGACGATGGAATGCAATTTAAAAATACCTATAAATATTTGCTAATTGTATTTAGACATGTCAAATATGTGATATAACTGATTATTTTGACCAAACTTACTAGTACAAAAAAATTTCCTAATAATGCAAAAAGATTTTTGAACTGTACTCTTACCTTAAGAGACGTACTTACATTCAAAAACCAACCAAAAACTCGTGATAGTTATTGTTGGCTCGCATTACTTTTAAGCCACTGTGGATATACCAAGGGCCTTCGGTTAATTCATATTTTGAAGCAATGTCTTTATACTGTGTTGAACCTCGATAAATCTAAAACTAAAAATGAAAATATGCTAAATTAGGCTTCACAAACATAATCCACTTCACCGACATGCAAACTAACATAATCCTTGTTAGTTTGCATGTCTCTCTTGTCCTAACAGATTATCTAGTCATTTATCAGTAATTTTCTAACAGGATTTTTTGCAAGAAACCTATTTTAGTTAATGAAACATATTTCAAAATGTTTGCTAGCCTGACCTTATTCATAAATGCTTCATAATTTCCCGGTTGATCAGCTTTCTGTGTTATATTCGGATGTCTGACAGAATCAAGACCTAATGGACCTGCAAGCGAAGTTCCATCGGGTACCTTGGGATCATAACTAAAAAACAATAGTTAGCAAAAATTACTCAACATTATAAAATGAACACGGATCAAAAATTTTTAAAACGATAACTATTATTGAATAAAAAACTAACTAATCAGGATCTAGCTCTCGTAACTGTGCTTTTGCTGCACCCAGTATGCCCTTTTCTGTTAACTGATCGGTCCATCCCAATTCTGTCCACCATGCTTTGCGGGACTTCGTTCTAGAAAAAAACAGTTCATAAAACCATGAAGGCAATTTCACATCTTGTTATTTTCGATCAAACAATGAACTAACTCATCACGTCGATCCCAGCGTTTGTTCCAGTATCCGATCCAAGGGGGTCTGGAAGGTACGTACATGGGCCGCAATGTCTTTTCTTCATTCTCTTGTTCCATAGTAGTATTACTTGTTACTGAACACTGAAACATAGATTAACTCGGTCCTACTTAAGTAAAGTTTAACATTTAAATGAAACTAGAGCCATAATTACACGAATATAATCGGACAAGTCCAGGATTTAACCAAACCGACGAACGGAACTATATACTCCACAAGCTATCTCGCACAACTTCACAACTTATTAATTCAAACAATTAGTTTTGTAAACTGCAGATCAGAATAAATCCGATCATTTAGCTAAACTTCATGACTCACAATGAAAATCGTACGTCTCGACTACAAAACTTACCGATTCTTCAACAATCAATTGAAGATCTTATATATCGATACTTGAATTCTATCAGAAGCCTAGGTATGAAGCAAGTTTTGATTTTTAGAACAATTTACAGTAGCATAATTATATGCAAGAAAAAACATGACTGTTCATGATGTGCACCAGCAGAGCTTAAATCTTATTTTAGGGAAAAAATTTCATGTTATTATCATTTAAATTAAAATTCCGGTTATTTTCAAGTAGCTATGTGGTATATTTCAGAGTAAAATGGAAATTTGATTAAAAGTTATTAAATTACTCTCATGTAAACATGAGGCGAGTATTTTAATTTTTTTAGTAGTCTCTTGATTTCTTACATTTTGGTATGCAATAGATATTGTCTATTTGCAATTAAGAACTAGAACATAATTTTTAAAATAAAAATCATAACCTTATATTGAAAAACTCGAATATGAAAAATAATGGAAATGAGAAAATATTTTAAAACCTAAAACATTTACTTTCAAAATTTAAAAATGAAACACAGTAAATAAATTTTCGAACCAAAAGAGCAAATTACTGGACAGTGTTCATAGTTATAGATATATTATCTTAAAAATTACATCTTTTGATGGTAAGATTTTGTTAACCAAATGGTACACAATCATTCTGTAAAAATAATTCTGCAGCATAATTTTCAGAGCAGTTCTTGTCGATTACAAAAAAGTTTTGCGCTATTACTGCCATGAGAGTTATGAACTTATACCATTAGTAATTGTAATGTTTAAATGAGTTTCAGGCATTTTTAAGTATTTATATATATAAAATGTGCTCATACAGGTGTAATATGTTGAAATTAAAAACTAAAATCATACGAAGAAAATGCTCAATATAAGATATTTATTTACAAATGTGCAAATTGCAGAACGCATATTGCACATGCAAATTGCAGAGTGCATATTGCACATTGCACAAATATGCAAATTACTGCAGTTGCATAGTTGATTGTATGAGAATAATTCATGATAACAGTCATAGTGAAAGCTACGTGTGTGGTCTTGGAGACTTTTCGTTTCTGCATATTCTTTTGCACCTTTCACCCTCTTCTCAACTTATCAATCACTCATGTGATAGTTAGAGATACTAACTAATATTTGTTCGTTTCTCTTGGCTATATTAGAGAATATTAATCCTAAAGTGATAAAACGTCACAGCAATTTGATATTGAAATTTTTAGCGCTTTTATTGCAATATATCCTTTGAACACATCAAAGTTATCAATACTTTATTAGATATAATGCATTACCTTCTTGTACACTTCCACTGCATCAACTTCTTCGCGCATTTTATGATTAGTTAGTACAATAAATTTTGATGAATACAATTTATTATGAGAAAACACATTGGCCGGAAATTGACGTTCATTTCAGAAGTATATAAAATGCTGACTTTTTGTTTCAAATATTGAAAATTTTTAGAAAGTAATGAATAAAACTATGCAGATTCAAGTATAATGATTGGGATGATCATAATTTCATTCTTTGCTTCTGTATAACAAAGATAGTTGAGAAAGCAGTTAATCATGGATGAATTTCATTTTAATCTGAAATAAGAACAAAAAGGGATTGTACTATTACGATTGATACTTTACGTACGAATGGCAGCATGACGTATTTTAGCCTTAACTAATTTGTTTTTTGATTTATCGTGTATATTTTATGCAACGGTTGACTTAGCTTTGCAAACTACAAGTTATCTCATGTCTCGCTTATATTGATCAGTTGAATAACAGTTTTTAATGAATACGAAATAGATCATCTATTGTACCAAATATTCATGCATAAGCATTGCATGACTGACTTCAAACTGGGTAATCAACGAAATTTAGAATCTATTTCTAAAAATTTTACAGTAACTTCTGAATATAATTAGGGACAATGAAAGTCAAGGGAATACTTACAAAAGTGAAATTTCGAATATATATACATGACAGAAAAACTTTCATTAATTATTTTGATTCGTATTAATTCTTGTTTCAGATGATCTTGTATGCAGTTATAAAATTACTCATTTGTATTTCAACTATATCGGTATTAAATATTTCCTGTGATGTTAATGCTTTTTCATCTACTACGAATGAAGAAGATAAGTCTTTTCTTTTTCAACTGTATAATTTTTGCAGTTATTTTCGATATCTTTTCAAGTTTCTAGTCATATGAAAAGCTTTCAGAAATCATACTGATCTATAATTTTATCATAAGCACTCAATCTGAACACCATAAGATTTAATCTTGAGCTTTACCTCATGATGTGATAGCGAGAAAGTTGTTTAAACGTGATATTTACTCGCTTCATCTTTCAATGATGGCTCGATGTTGTTCACATGTTCATAGTCATTGCTGTACAGAAGCAATTGATTTTAATAAGCTTCTCTTGTGTAAAGATATGACATTGGATACAAAAATCGATGTCACACGATGTATTCAAAAAGTAATGTACGATAAATATGAAGGAAATCACGATAATTCAACAGGTAAGTGAATAAATTTATGCTTTGTACAAAATAAAAACAGAATTAAGTCAGAATCACGTTATAGTTAACACTGATAGTAAGTGCAGCTTAGGATTCGCTCTATAGTTGTACTCGACAAGAATTCATTTCGACTAGCTAATCACCCTTTACTTCTGTAAAGTTTCTAAGTTCAAAAAAATTCTCGAATAGAAAAAATTGATTGCTAAGTTGAAATTTCTTTTTACATTCACATATATTACTATTGAAGTTAGTTATGAACTGAAGAAAAAAAACAGTGCTTAGTTATACTTTTGCAAATTCAGAAAAAAAAATTTTCAGGCTAGAACTTTGTATTTCAGATGTGATCTGTTGCGATGTATTTGCCAGTGATAACAACGATGAAAAGGGACGTTGTCTTTCAGAATGCATGGCAGTAATGCAATTAATTGACTTCAGTATTGACGAAAAGTTGGAAAAAATCGAGAAATGTCGAAAGAAAAATCCATTATTCAAAGTACTTTTCATTACAGTGTGCTGATACTGTAGAATATCTTTTGAAAAGTAATTTGTTGGATTAGTTGAGCTGCGCTTATTTCAAATTTGATCCTAAAATGTTGCATGCTCAGTCTATCTAGTTGAGTTGAGCAATGAAAAAGTTTTTGCAAGCGATCAAATATGTGAAATTTTGATAACAAAAAATAAATGATTTTCTTATTAAGTAAAATATAGCAAAAAAATAGATATAAAATATAAGTGAAATAATTGTAAAAAGAAATAAACTTAAAAATAAAAAAAGAAATCACAATGTTAATTAGAGATAATTTCTCTGCATTGGTCATGAAAGAATTGATGATTACAGTGAGCAAAAAAATAGCAACGATTACAATAGTTGTAGTCAGATGGAAAAAAGTTGAGCAACAGTAGCAATTTATATTTGTGATGAACAATGCTTGAATTTGCAATGAATTGTAGTGCTTCAAACGATGCATGAAGTTGTTGTGGAGTGACGAAAAGTCGGAAAGCATAAATTATGCACAGGAATGCTCTGTGAAATGGAAAATGCTGCCCGGAAAAATATATATTGGCCAAGAAATTAAGTGATGCATCACTGTTATAATTATTAATAATTATGCATATTTTTATTTTTGCAGTTAGTGACAATATAGTTTTAATTTACTACCACATTCATTGATACAAGCAAATATTAGCGACAAACTTGACTACTTATAAATTAAATTATCGAAATCAAATTATTTACTGCAGTTAAATCATACAAAATCAGTAGAAAATTTTCATTTCCAATAAGTCCTAATAACAGAAATAATAATAATAATAACAATCAAAATTGATATGTTCTGTTTTAATCTTGAATAGGTAATTCATGGGGTCTTATAATGTATGATTTAACTGCAGTAAATAATTTGATTTCGATAATTTAGACAGTAATATATTAAATTTATTTCCTCATTATTTTGCATATTATTTCGTATACAAAAGACTATATTAATTTAGCAAATAAAATAAATATTCAGTAATATTAGTTGATTTTAAACTTGAAAGTATTTACAGGATAAAAAAGTGAACTGGAATTTGAGTAAGAAATAAATATATAGAAAAGATGATGATCTAGTAATTGTAATGATTATTTCAGCCAAATGTTTGCATCAATTTTTTTAAACTTCATTTTGCTTTTTTTGTTCATTAACTTTGTCAAGTTTTAAGAATAATTTTGTGACTCTTTTAATCTCTGTTATTTTTATCAATCAAACAATTGATTTATGTACCGAAATTTGTGTCAAAAGATGAAATCTGAATTGCCATTTCAATCTTCGTGTTGTTAATGCCAAAAACAATCATTACTGTCATCATCATTGTCATTATCTTCATCATCCTTGTCATTATCATCATCATTTTCGTCATTATGATTGTTTCACGCAAGTGAGTGCGCTATTTTGCAAGTACTTGCATCGTTGTCTCAATAAATGCTCTAGCAAACGTTATCATTCTAGTTTTGTCTTGTTGCAAAATTAAATCGAACCTCTTTTCGCACATCTTTCCTGTTCTGTCTTTGCATGGTGATTCATTTCGATACATTACACATTGTTAAATGAATAAATGACTGACTGATTGATTGATTGATTGAATTGATCACTAAATGGAACCTTGATCGAATTGTGATCACTTTTCAATTAATTAAGTAACCAGTCAGTCATTCATTCATTCTACTTTTATACTGCACATTTATTTATTTATTTAACCTTCTTTTCATTTACCTCTTCCTTATCATATCACACACTCAACAATTTTATTTTTCCCCTTCTTCTTGTAGTGCCTTGCACATACGCATATGTGCAATTTATACGTTGGAAGGTTTCATTTATGCACTTATAACGTTAAGAAGTGTTCGTAATGAGCTGATAAATAAGTGTTGAATGCGTCAATTGTATATTTCATTTTTGCTAATTAAAGCTTGCAGTTATTTGCGTGCACTTTCAGCTTTTTTAGTCTATTTTTTAATGCAGTTATGTTATACAACTTTTATCCATTATACGCATGCTAATTGCTTCATTAATTCTGTATGTTTGTAGTTAGGAATGGATTGATTTTTGCTGTTTTCACCAGATATATAAATTCCAATTTTCCTTCTTTAATATTCTTGATATAAGCATTGCTTGCATCGTTTTATCTCTGTTATTAGCAGTAAAGCTTTTACTTAATGTTTTATTCAAATCTTTATTCCTACTTTTGACATCATTTTTGTCTTTGGTATTACATTTTGCATTCATTCATCTCGTTATAGAATCAGATTTCGTTGTAAATATTGAATTAATTTTTGAGTATATTATATTGAAGTGTAATTTTATAGCTGCTGGAAATGTGTACTGGTGCTCAAATTTCATCAAAAGATATTATATCAAAAATCCAGAAGTCCGACACGGTACTTATTAATACGGGAAATATTCAGCGTCATTCAGAATTGTTTCGTCGAATGTTCAAAAATTCCGCAGAAGAACTTGTTGCTGCCGTGGAATTTGAACTTGAAGGACCGAATGGACCAGATTTAGCACTTGGGTTATTTGTAATAATTGTTGCACTAAGTTTCAATTATTTCTCTGCCATACTAGCACACTCGTAGTGTTTCATCCACAGTGGAAAATATTTTAGAAAAAAGTATTACAGAGAAGATGGTACTGTACAACTTACTCGTGATTCACAAAAATGTCATCTAAATACAATTGAAAGAAATGATATGAAGACTACTTTGAAGGTTCACCTTTATTTAATTATTATTAGTCGTCAGTAATAGCAATATGTTCCGTTTTATGGAAAATAATTGATTTATACAGGCTTACAGATTTCAATTGTTACTGGTTGTTTGTTGTAAGCTGTCACTATAAGAAGTAAATAAAATTGCAGGTTTTTATGTCATCTTTAGATATACAGCAAGTGGAAGAAAGCGTTAATGCAGCTTTACAAGCTATCAACATCAAGTCACTTTCTCAGTTGATTATTGCTTTTCCACCCGAAGATAAATTTGTATACATTTGTTTATTCTATAAACTTTTAATCATAATTAGTTAGAAAATGCATTTTTTTCAAATTACTCATCAAATTTTTTTAATCAGTCACTTAAATACACATTTCATGTTGTGTTGTTTCTGCAACTAAATTCGATAAGTTTCATTCTTTTCTCTCATTACGTTGTTAACGTTTTCTTGAAATGAAATTCATGAAGACATATAATCAGTTTTGTTAGAATGTTATTCAGCAGCTTGAAATTTTTATGAAGTAAACAATATACAGGTTATGACTTCATGTACGCCTGATAGTGTGCAACAGTGGCTGCGGAAAATATCTCCATTTTGGAAATCATTGGGGAATTTGGTAAAAAGTCAGAAAGTAAACAGTTTAGGTGTAGCAGATCTTGACTATGAGCAGTTGAAGGCACTTTATGAATCCACGGATGAGTATCGACCTATGATCGATCATTACAATACTGAACATTGTTGTACGGTATGTCGAGAAATTTTAATATTCAAACAATATAATCTTCGGTAATTATGGTAGATTTGATTTTAACAATTAAGAACAAAAATATGCCTTCTTCACTTCATGACATTACCAAGACCTATATGTATTTCAATATATACACTTAATCTAAATCATGTTTTATTAAAATTCACAATTCTTTGTAATCAGGTTCCCCCAGAATTGCGTGAATATGCCAGACAAAAGGATATTCAGTTGTTAACTCACAACGATCCAAATTTGTGCACTATTGATGACAAATTAGGCATTGCAAGCAGGAAACTATTTGGAAGTGAAAAATTCAGTCTTGAATTAACTGCTCGGTATTGTTTTTTTTTCTTTAATTGAATGGAAACTTTCATTCTGAGTAATACTTAAGTCCTAATGTGTTACAAACTATCATTCAATGAATAAATGAACTTTTATTTTGAGCAGTGTTTTAGTTGATAGCATTACTTCTGTATCATTATTGTTAGAAAGCCAAAATTTAAAAAATAAAAGAGGATTTGCTGCTCTTAATGGTCTCACCTCCTGTTGTTAAAAGCTGATAAAAACGATATGAATCTTAAATATTTTTACCATAACTGCAAATTTCAGACTTACTGTTTGGTTACGAAGTCGTTCGATTATTGTTGGAAAGATTTATATGCTTAAATTTCGCAAAAACAAATATTAGAGATCTCGACAAATCTCAAACGAGAATTGTTTTTCAAAAATTTTTTGTTCTATACTTCTTATCATCCTGTGTAGCAGAAAACTTAATGGTGGTGGTTGTTTCAGTGTCCTTCTTTAGTACAGATGAAAGTGTTCTTTCTATACATAAGTTTATAGTTGTTTAAATACTGGTATGTATCAATAGAAAATTCTAAATTTTTTGTCATCATAAATGTACTGCAGGTTTTTTGTTTTTGGAACCGCTGTTTTCAACATGACTGTGGAAAAAGGAAGAAATCACTTCTTGATTCTTGAGTGATTGGAAATGTCGTCTTTTTTTTATTTTTAAAAGGATAATTCTGGCACAAACTTGTTTGTCATTGTATGTAATATTTCAATAAAAACTAGTGTTTCTGGTAAGAAATTTTTTTGTACTTAAAAATTCTGTGTTATTAATTCTTGTTCATGTAATATGTGTGCCATGGAGAATAACACAATAGTGATGTAAATTGAAAAGCGTTAAAAGTTAGTAATAAGTACCTCGTTTTTTTAATTATTTTCATATCTGAAGTAACCTGAAATTTCTGCCATATAGGTCATTTATTTATTTATTTATTTGAAGAGAAAGTTGATCAGTTAGTTGTTATCTATCAAAAGTATTTGCTATAAAACCATATGACAGCATACCGATTGTGATTAACGTGTTGTGCATGTCGTGGGTTATAGTTGCTATCTAAATCTTCAGAATACAGTGCTGCATCTATTCATATGAACTAAGTCGTCTATTTTACCAGTGGCATATAAAAGAACAGTGTTTATCCAAGAATTAGCACAAAATTTCAAATATGAACGAAATGCAATTGTAAGATTCTCTTCAGCAATAAACATGTCGAGTGCATTATTATTGAAAAAAGGAGACCGTTTAATTGGTTTCATTTTTTTTTCTATTCGTAAACATACTGCCATATCAATATCAACATAATAAAATCAAGATAGTCTATCCGTTAAAGTGGTTTGGGTAGTTAAGTTTTATTTTTTAGTAGCCCAATCATCGTTGAGATGTGTGTTGAGGTAAGTTTTAAGGTTTTGAAGCTACTATAACTGTTATTTCGATTGCCATGAAGAAGCCTTATATAAGGAACATGTATTGTAACGCACCGATTTAGTTTGTCTGAAAAAATGGAAAGAAATTACGTCAGACATCATTTATAAAATTACGCCACATATTTGCATTATGGAGCATTAGAAAAAACATAGCCCTAACAAGAATTATTGCATTCAGGTTACAATTAAATGTGGTAGTTACACTTTTATAAACTCTGAATGACTAAATTACTTTGAAATATGATAACTGTTTTAATGTAGTCATTAAGAAATCAGGCATTTGTTATGGGAAATAATGAGAATTGTAGTTTATTTTTGCTATGGCTTTAGAAGGATGGTGCTTCATGACCAGTTGGAAACCAATTTATTCAAGAAACAAAATTAGATTCCTCAAAAATCAGATAAGTCAAAAATTAGGAAGTGAAACTATCCGGAAATGCTCTTGTACAATACTAAACACATTTTAGCAGATTATATCTACACGTGAACTCGATATGGTGATATTCCAAAATTATAAATATATAAAAACCATAAAGAGTATGTAATAACTGTGGAAAAAAAAACACATCTGTATAATTACTTTTACAAAGAACACAGTGATTTAACTAGTGATAATAGGTGTCTATTATTTTAGATGAGATGATAATATGCCATAGTCATTGTCACTTTGTTAGCATCATTAGTAGGTAGTAAGATCTAGTCATGTATGTCGAGTACTTGTTACCATTACTTATTTCAATACCTATCTTGTATGTTCGTTCCCTTTTTCAGAATATGATTCAGAATCTATGATATTCGAAATAGGCATCGAAAGCCACCATAAATATGAAAAAGTATGAAACATATCAGTATTAAAAATTTATAATGCATGTATTACTGCAGCTACAATTATCACTTTATTAATACTACTAGTTAAAAAAAGTGGTATTTTGCGTTTTCACTTAACTGAAGTAATCATATAAATATGAAGTATCAATCTCTATAGCAGACAGAATTTAAATAAATAAACAAATAAGTAAATGCTTGTTTACTTTTCCAACATAACTAAAATACTTTCAGAATAAGATTATTCTCCTAAAGTATAAATACTTTAATCAAAACGTCATTTGCAAATTGAGCTAAACGTTGACAGAAATGCGTAATCACTGTTGTTAGTGTATTCGCTTGTTTCATTGTATAATAGTTCAAATAAAAATAATGATTTCAGCTTAATTCATAATTGATTGATGCTTGCTTGTTGTTAGCTTCGAACAATTTTTTCCAATCACATTTATAAGCAGTTTGAATTGATACAATTTATAATTGTATTAAAAAAATAAATAAACTGTTCAGTTTGAAGTTTAGCTGTAACATTTATTCATATTTTTTTTGTTAATATAAGCAAAAAAAGTAAAAATTTGCAAGATTGAATCTAAAAATTCGAAAATAAAATTTTGAGTTTCACAACTGTTTCTTTTTTAAGTATATCCCAAAAATAGCAGTTGTTCAATATACTTCAAAAACGGTATTAAAAATTTGCAAAGTTAGAGTGCAACAACTTATACACATATTGAATCTAATAGAATTTATTTTTTATGCAATTTTTAGACGTAGTTGCAATGAGATATCCACGTAATTTATATTCCACGTTTATTTATTATCATAATTTTTTAGAACTGGTTTTTAATTTAGTAGAATTTTGTAATGAAGTATGAGTGAATGATATAATAATTCGTACTTACTGTGATGAAAATTTTTAAAAATTTATATTTTTTTTTGCAGAATGATAAATATACGCACAATTAACGTGTGCCATTGTATGAAGACAAAAGAATTGTAAGATCATATAACCTCAATTGTATTGTTTTTCATTAAAATGTATTATTTCTTGATTACATACATTCATTTATATACATATTCATTAGTGCAATTGTATATTAATTTATTTATCTAAACTGACATATTTAGTCTATATTTAAATTTTCAGACAGCAATTATTAGATTAAAAAATTATCCATTTTTTTGAAGTAAGATTAGAAAAACATACCATAATTGTAGTATTTAATGAGTAATTAAACGCAGAAATACTATATATATATATAATCATGCAAGAAAGTGGGTGTTTGCCACAAAACTGCAAATAACAAGTTCAAAAGTAAACTGTTAGATGAGAATACTAGATTGAATTACGGATTGTTTTTATGGTGATAAAACGATAAAATAAATGTAAGAAGTGATAACAAATTATTCATTGTGATTAAAACAAGAAGTTTATTCAGATAGGAAAAATTTGTAGCCTTTTAAAGAAAGGATGAAAAGATTGAAAAATTTTGAATAATTACAATTAGGGATATTTTTGACGCACTTGCCCATCTTTCTTCATTTATACATTTGTTTAATTATAAGCATTATTTCTGTTTTATTAATACCTATTACTTCATGATTGTTTTGCTTACTTGAAGCGATGAAATTTTTTAGCTAGTTTTTTTACTCTCTTTCGATATCATATATCAACGCACGTATTCATTTGAATTAAAAGATGCATGCAATGGTCAGTTATGTTAGAATTATACTTGTGTACAGGTCACTTTGATTTTGCTTCTGAAAAATAAAAATTGCCAACATGTGTTCAAAATTTTGCGCTATATGAGCAAATTTTATGTAACCATTACTTACTTTGTTATTCTTTCTTAAAAATTTTGTCTTGTTTCCATTGTCAAACATTTTTATATAAGTAATAAGAAAAAATTAAATTTAAATTAAAGCTAAAACTTTGTCTTTTTCACATTCGCTTTTTAGTAGATTTCTTTCAAGCTTTATTTGCTGAAAATAAAAAAAGTGAAGAGTATTTTCAGCTTTTGTTATAATGCTATCAACGATATTGATATGGATGATATTTTTGAGCATACTGCTGGTAAATAGTCAAATTCATACAAGGTTTGCTGTAAAAACTGAGCTTAATTAATTGAAGTAACATAATGCAAATTAGTTTAGTGCAATTTTTATCAAACAAATTAGCTTTGCTTAAATAAATTAGTAATACAGCAAAGAAATATTACGCGTTATTAATATCACATTAATCTTGGAAATCAAATAGAGAATCTTTCAAAATGAGTTATTTCGATGAAGATTAATATTTTCTAAAAAATTTATTTGCTTGGTATTTATCTTTAAAGCATTTTATAGTTCAAAAAATAAAATAATATGCGTAATTTTTATGATTAATCAAAAACTGATCCTATCATTGATATTTACAAGTATTGATAAGTTTCGAAAATAACAAATAACCGAAATGAGTGATCATAACAAAGTATAATCTGTTAAACTTTTGTCCTATATCACACATCTCAAAAAATGAGCAAAAGTATTTAAATGAGAAGAATTAGTAAAAAGCAATTTATTCTTTTTATCTGAATTTCGAAAATGTTTAGATTATAGCGATTAATGCATATCTATAATATTCGCTGTATATAAATGCTATTTTTTCATAAAGTTCAATTATCAGTGTAAGCCATGTTTTCGGAATTTGCGTTTACATAATTATCAAAATCTTTCTGATGAGAAAAAAATGCTCCCATTGTATCAAGAAATTGAAGTATACTTTATGAAGCTTGTACTTGTACGTTGATAGCTTTAAGCGTAGATTTTGATCAGACGTTGGATTAAAGTGAAAAAATCACTTAGATTTTATAATATTACAAAAAAAAGAATAGGTAGAAGTAATAAAAGATTTTCGCTTTGCATTTTTTACTTTCTGCCTTGTATAACTGGATTATAGCAACAGTTTCATTATGACTAATTAATATTTAAAAAGCAGAAAAAATAATTATAAATAACAATATCCAGCCAACCATCATGACTTTAATTTTTAGCCTTGAATCGACAAGTAAGAAATTTAAGATATTCGAAAGTGTAGATAATCCACTGAACAGAACAACACAGATGGAGATCACCATTAGAAATGTGCGACCTGGTTTGTATTGTTATCAATTTTTTTCGACTTTTTAAATTTCATTTGAATAAGTCTCAAATTTGAGCAGTCTTTGCTTTTTGCTCAAAATTATAAATTTTGATTACAAATTATTATTTTGTTGATATTAAAAAGAACATATTTCCAGATATGAACAAAACAAAGTCAAATATATAAAAAAATCTCAATTTTAGAAGTGTCATTATTTACAGCATTCAAAATTATCAAAGAAAATTGCGAACAATATTGAAATAGAGACATAAGATTAGCTGATATGTCAACAGCAAAAGTAATAAATCTGAGGAAATAAAATAATGTCAAGGATAGAAACGATATTTCAGTTAATCTCAAAAGTTACGATTGCAACTGATAAATTTATGAATTTTCAGTCACTTCAATACCCATTACTCTATCGACAGCAGATGATTTCTCAAAATTTACCACAGTAGTTAACGATACGGATCTTCAGTTCTGGAAAGCATCTGAGAATCCATTTTCTGCTACATGGCCAGCAATCTATGATTGGAACGATATCACAGACTACATAAGTAATACAACCACTGATGCTACTAAGTCTTCAAAAATGGTTAAAACACAACGTGAAGGGTCGCTGTCACAAAAACCATCAGAATCAATCGTAAGAATTGCTATAACTAATGAAAGAAATCAAAATAAAGTCGAAATTAGTAATATTGCTGCCAGCAATATGCAACGAACAGCACCTGTTAACGACATTTTTAATTTTCCAACTACTGCCACTGCTATTACTGAAGAAACGAATCGCTATATTTTGAACGATAAAACCACACTTAATAAACCGACTGCTAGCTTTAATATTAATAATTTTGGTTCTACTGAAACAGTACTAGCATCAGAAGAAGCCACAAGTGATCAACATTTATTAGCTTTAAAGCAAAATTTCAAAGATTCATTAAATGATATACAACTTTATGTATATGAAAAACTAAATAATGAGAACAAACTTGTTCTAAAAGACATTGTTCAAAGAAATATAAAAATAATTAGTCAGTTAATACGAAAAAAATTAGAAAAGGGTTTGCAATATTCAGAGAGTAATTATTTCGGAATAGACCCGATCAAGCCAGGAAGAAAAATTTTAAGTGGATTAGCTCAGGTTCAGAAATCGTTTTTCACTTTCCCTAATGTAAATGATCGAAACTAAAATTAAAAGTATCCAGAAATTGATTACAGTAGTTAATATGAAAATTGTAAAAATTAGTTTCATATAAAAGAAAGCATTTTCCCAGTAATTTTTTATTGGATTAATAATAATGATGGAAAAAATGATGCTACAGTTTTACTTGAATAGTAACTTATTTATGATGTACATTACTTCATTGTACTCTTTTTTTCGAACTATTTTTTGAATATTATTTTGATCATTGTCTCATCTTTTTCAAATACCGATTTGAAATTTGAAAAATATTCATTTCAACAATTCTGATGTTTGTTTATTTCAGTACTAAACAATTTATCAGAAGCAATGCATAAAAAGTTGTTTAGAAGTTGAATGAGTGAAGGATTTGTAGTAGGCAGATGAACATGTTTTTAGATGATAGCATTTATTGTTTGTGTAATATTAAATGACAAAAACAAATCATACATCAAGATATACAAATTTATGTTATTTTGTACATTTTAACTGAAAAGATCTACCGAGATTAATGTCTATCAAAATACTCTGTTTATTCATGTATCTATCAAAACAAGTGTATTTTTAAGATTAATTTAATTCTAAATAAATTTCAGTTGATCACTTCTCAAAATTAATAGAACGTAAAATTAAAATTTATTACTTGTATGTCATCATGGAATGAAAAAAAAGGAACATTTTTAAACTTGAATGTTAATTAACGATGGCCAAAATAAATGATTAATAGAAAATAGACAAAATTCTGTACTGCCAGCGTTTGAAACAAACAGCAATATGGAGTTTCGAAGTAGAGATCTAAAATATTGTATTTGATGTCAAGAACAAACAAAGCAAAATTATTTAGCAAATAAATACGTCAAATTTTGAATGGTTGCGCTTTAATTTTTGTTTTTGTTCAAGAATCACGTTTTATTTTCCATGTATCGATGTAGAAAATCCAATTATTTAGCCCCGTCAACTTCGTATGATGTATGTGTATCAAGTAAAATGAGTACAGCAAACTGATTTTATTAAACTGTAACTTTGCGAACCAAATATAAATCAAAACAATTTAGTATAGCATTTTACTCATAATGAATCATTTATGGGACCTAATGCTTGCTTTTTGTTCCCAAAAAAAAATTCAGATTTCATGAATCAAACTAAAAAAATAACCTTTGGTTAATAATAATATTCTTGCAAAAAATATCAAAATATGAAGAAAATATTTGCATTACAACTTTGCATCTATCAATTTACTTGTGTAGGATTGAAATTTAGTAACAGATATATGAAGCCAAAAGCACAAAGTTAGGTCCAAAAAATGTTCCTTAGCATTTAATCATTTAATCAAATTTAGACGAATTTTGAATATTTTACAATGGTGATAGCAGAGACAAAACACTGAATAATAGCCAAATTTATAACTGTAAAAGATTAATTCAACAATTTTTCCGGAAAACTGAAGTATAAAAATAGCATTATTTACTGGTCAAACGAATCAAACTGTCTTGAATTTGTACATTATTTGTTTTCTTATGAGTGAAATCAGTGTAGATCATACAATAAAACTACTACGATAATCAGAATAATGTATTATTACTATCATTATTTCGCATATGCTTACTGAATAAAGAAGCTATTAGTTTAGTACTTAAGTAAACTATAACAACTTAGTATTCAAAGTACTGCTAAAAGCATATATGAAACATTTTAAAGTAAACCATAAAGTAATGAAAAGAGCTCGAATTCGCACTATATACAAAATTTATTTTTTGTAATTCTGATAGCTTAAGTGAGTGACGTAAGTAAGAAATGTTACCAACGCAAATAATGTCATTATGTTAACAATGCAAACAATGAAGAGATTTTTACTTGTTATAACACCATACATCTTTCTTCAAATATATTCTAGTAATTGCTGAAGTAGAAAAATATCTTCTTATTATTAACAATTTTTATTGCAATTTTTGAATTCTTTAGATTTTAAGTTTTGAACATGTGATCGTGATTTCTTCATTAAGTAATTATTATGTTAATAGATAGCAGTATCTACTTTATTAAGTGTTGTATATAAATTATAAAGTGAATAATAAGGTAAACTGTATTTAAAGAAACCCAGCACATTATGCAAGCTTTTATTTTTTCATCTAGAATAAAAATTGAATTTTAAAATATAAATTACACGTGCAAATTCCGTGTTGCATATTTCACGAACACTTTGCAAGCAATTTTGAGATGGTTAATGGCAATATGTCCTGTGAAAAGTAATAGCAAAAATTTAACGGACATTGCAATCGGTTTTTCATTCAACGAACTCTAACCAAGCGATCGTGATGATTAATGCTGTCCTACCACACTAACAATTCTGGTAATCAATTTTTATCGTTTAACGTTGTGCATCTAAAGATGAATTTTTCTTAGCACTAACATTTTTAAGTTTTCTAATTTGTATAGCACTTACAATGTGGAGTATTGTATAAGTATATATTTTAGTGTTATCCCAGGATGAATCCTATGTGGCGTGCAGAAGTTACTGTTAAGCCTACACTGAAAGAGAAGTTCAGACATGTTGAAGTGGATGATTGGGATACAGATCCTGACTTTGTTGTGCGTACTTACAAAATTAATGATTTTGAAATTTTTGTATTGTTCTACCATATAATTTATGTTTTTGAAATAATTACATTTTGAGATAATGCATATAGTGCTAGAAGAACTTTGGTAACAAAATTCATTCATTCAACATTCCTGATATTAAAGTTTCTTGTATAAGCAAATTTAAAGTATTTATGATAGAGTCAGATATTTTTTGAGTGTCATAAATTTATATAGTCCAAGCAGTTAATTATCATTAAGATAGCAGACGTAGTTACTGGTATATTTTAATTTTGTCTTTCGAACATCACTGCAATGAATTAAAATTACGTAGTACACAAATATGCGAAATTTAGAATAAATAAGGGGAAAGAAATCTGTTAATTTCAGCAAAATTAAAGTTAGTATAATATCCGCTTAGTACGAGAAATAATGATTTCGGAAACTAATGCTGATGGCTTCACTATTTATATTTTATGCATTTTTTTTTGATCGTACTGGTAATCATAAGAAATGAATGATTCTTAGTATTAGCATGGTATTATAAGATTAGTTTTCAGAATGATGTGAGTGAAAAAGAAAGTCGTTGGGGAGCAAAAACTGTGGAAGGATCCGGCCATCAAGAATCCGTCTCATTGGATCAGTTGCGTAAAGAAGTGATGAAAAGTGACAGTTCAATCAAAGTATCTTTCATTTCTTTTATATTTTGATTAGTTTTTCACTATGACAGCCATGTCTAACTATTTGTGTTGTTATATACTTTCAAACATACTTGGTCTTGGCATTTATGGCAAACTTAAGCACTCAATTTTGGAAACGTGCGAACTTTTGACTTAGCAGAATGTAAACAGTCGATGTTATTCTTTACTGTCATGGAGGAATTGGATTTGTGAAATATAGCAGTCTTGTTTTTATAATTGACAGTTATATATTTATATCTGTTTTTACAGGCAAGGAAAGCAGAGGAAATACCCAAAGCGAGTGATGGGTATGGTGGTAAATATGGAGTGCAAAAGGATCGCATGGATAAGGTGTTCTATTTGTTTATAATTATATCTACTTTTGTTGTATATTATCTTTAAATTTGTGAAATTTGAGTAATATTAGTTTTTGATTTCAAAATATAGTTCTAAAAATCTGTAGGTCGCCGAAACATGGGAATATTCCGGAAAAGTAGATAAGCATGTATCTCAGAAAGATTATGCTAGAGGTTTTGGTGGAAAATATGGTATTGAAACAGATCGGAAAGATAAAAGTGCGCTTGGATGGGATGAAAAAGTAGTGCTCTCGAAACATGAAAGCCAAACAGGTATAAGATTTCTTATTTATCTTTACTGTCTTTGAAATGTTGGAATTTAAGACAATTTTTACGAAATACTGCTAATCTCGGTGTGATCTTTATTTTTTAATTTCCAATAAATATTTTTTGTTCTCTCAATAATTTTTATTTCTTTGAGATTATACAAAAGGCTTTGGTGGGAAATTTGGCGTTGAAGTAGATAGAAAAGACAAAAGTGCATTTGGTTGGGATGAACATGAAAAGATTTCTCAGCATGAAAGTCAAACAGGTATAGGTTCATTCATCATTAAAAGCCGAAACTAGCTTCTGGTATTCTATGTGCTACAAGCTTTTCAACCAGATCTAAATTATTTTGTTTCATGTTTCTCATTAAACTAACTCTTCTTATGACATTGACCTTATAGTATGATGGTTTACAGACTATAAGAAAGGTTTTGGTGGAAAATTTGGTATTCAGGAAGATCGTAAAGATAAAAGTGCACATGGTTGGGAAGAACAGGAGAAGTTGCAGCAGCACGAAAGTCAAATAGGTCAGTGGACGAATTGTGCTTGACATATTACGTAAGTTTCATGTTAAGTAATCGATAATTGAGTTTCAGACTATAAAAAGGGATTCGGAGGTAAGTTTGGCATTCAGGAAGATCGACAAGATAAAAGTGCAGCAGGATGGGATGATCAGGAAAAGTTGGCTACACATGTAAGTCAGATAGGTAAGTGCACCTAGAAACCTGTCTTAATCCAAAAGATTTGGAACAAAGTTTTTGGTACGTATAAAGTCCAGTGTCGTTTATATTTTCAGATTACAAAAAAGGATTTGGCGGGAAATTCGGTATCCAGCAGGATAGGAAGGACAAAAGTGCCGTGGGTTGGGATGAACATGAGAACTTGCATCAGCATGAAAGTCAAACCGGTAAACATAAGAAGTTGATGCTTTGATGTGTACGCAGTGAAATTGCAATGTTATTTTATGTATCGGTAATTTAGTAGCTGATTTTTCAGATTATAAAAAAGGTTTTGGTGGTCGCTTTGGTTTACAGGAAGACAGGCAGGATAAGTCAGCTGTTGGTTATCAGCATCACGAAGAATTATCACAGCATGAAAGTCAAAAAAAATATGCTAAAGGTGAAATTTTTTTCATCACAAAATGAGGGAAAGTATATGTATGTGTATTAATGTATTCGCTAGTTTATTTGTTTATGTTCAGAACTCAGTGAGAAGTTGACAGTTCAAAATAAACAGCAAGACCAGAACAGATTGGCCCATCACTTTATCAAAAATGAAAATGAATCGAAACAGTCAGTGGTTGTGCCGAGAGGAAGTGCTTCAAATTTACGTGCTAAATTCGAACAACTTTCAGTAGCTGAGGTCTGTTTTAAAAAATGTAAAGCCCAAGGTTTTAAACAAAATTATGCAAAGATATGATCATGCACATTTTTCATTACGCGGAGGGTTTTTTTTGTGAAGTTTTTGTAAAAATATTTTTTAAGAATGATGAGAAGGTGCGGCAGGAACGCGAACGTCGGAAGCGAGAGGACGAACAATTACGCGTACAGCAACAGAAAGAAGAGGAGGAAAGACAGAAAAGAATTGCTGAGGAGTGGAAACGACGTGAGGAATTAGAGGAACAGGTATTACATTTTATTATGATAGAAAGTCTATATCACAGAAATAGAAAGCAGGATGAGCAAAAACAAGAAAATGAATCTATCTTTATATATATGTGTTATAGAAGTTATTCATTCGTTGACGAGGAGGTCCAGAATTTATTAAAATTTAAAAAAAATTATAGATGGACCCGGAAGCAATTCAAGAAGAAATACGGCAACATGAGCACATGCATCATACTGGAGGTAATTTTTGTTGTTATGATATATTTGAAAAATATCTTAATTTTGTATAACTTTTGTTAGGCATATCAAAAAGACATTCCCGTACGCCAGCTGGTGCAGTGGCAATAATGCCAGGAATGGCACGGCCACCGAAACAGGATACTTTTGAACGGCCTGTCAGCTATGGGAAAGAACATTTCTCAACTTCAGTCGAAGAACCACGACCTCAACCAGTTAAATTACCGATTTTCAATCCATCGTCTGCACATACAATGCATTCACTCAGTACAAGGGGTTGGAGTTTATATTTCGAGTATTTGATTAATACCAGTTTTTCTATACTTTTTCAAAATTTTGACACTGAAATTCTTCGTCAATTCAATCATCATTGGTTCAATTTTATAGCTAATAAAGTGTTTGATAATGTGAACCTTCAAACTTTGTCAAGTGATAAAGCAAATGGTGATGATCAAGATTGGGATGATGAGCCCCAGAAAAACAGTAATATGTTCTTAGCAGTTGTTTCAAAAGTAAGAAGAAATTGTTTTAAATTTACTTATCTACTCAGGCATTAGTGTCTTGTTTTTAACTAGTTGAACTGAAAGAAAACTGACTTTATATCCAGTTGCATGAATTAAATTAGCCTACTTTCAAAGCAGCTTCTAAAATTTGTCAGGAAAAGAAAACGACTGGAGTTAGTGAAGGAACATTAATTGGAGAAAGATATGATGTGGTTCCTGAAGATGGGATGCTACTACGATCATCCACAACACATTCACTAGAAAATAATGCGATGTATATTCAGCGTTATGAAGAACCACCCATAGAAGTATGGCGTTTTTTAGATAGAAGCTCGTTTATGAAAGCAGGAATAAACTAACGCGTTTATAATTTAAACCTTTTAGACGTAATTGTTTTTAATAAGCAACATTAACCACCATTATTATTTTTGTTTTTTTGTTTAAAAAGGAGTTTATTGTCAAAGCTGATTCCGAATGCACAAATAGGAATTTAAAAGCCAAATTATAAGAGCAGAGTTCAGGAATGCGACAGAATAAAGTGAGGACATACGATTACTTTGATATAGTGCTCCCCAACAATTGTTAAAGTGCAACAAAATTTTTTTCCTTTTGATAGATTAATTTCTCTTTAAATTTGTAATGTAGCAGTTTTCACTTTATTTTATTCAGGAAGAGCCATCAAAAACGACAGAAATATCAGAAATTGACCCTCTTTCACCTCCAACACATCCTCTTGTTTCCACAGACCTTACAGCTATTGCCATTTATGATTATCAAAAGCAAGATGATGACGAGATTAGTTTCGATCCAAATGATATCATTACTAATATTGATCAGGTTGTCAGTTTGTTTAATATTCTCACCAATCAATTTCTTAAAGTAAAGCCATTTTGCTCTTTAATCAACAACTCCTTTGTTTGTGTTCCAGCACTCCTTGTATGACTGGTTTATGTCATGTAAATATTTAGATAATTGTATATTTGTTTTTACGCTTTCAGGTTGATGCTGGCTGGTGGCGAGGACTGTGTAATGGGCAATATGGTTTGTTCCCAGCCAATTATGTAGAATTACGCTGAAAAGTGTATTCTAAATGAAAAGGAATCTTTGCGTATACAACACATCACATTTTTTCTTGATTTTATTTTAATCTAAAGGTCTAAATAAAAGTTGATTACTGTTAATTTTTTTTAAATTAATTGTGTAAATGTTCAAGTGTGGGGAGGTTTTACTATTCTTGGATTCATAGCAACAAGTTTTTCAGTCTCTTAAACAAATTTTCCGCTCGTTTTCCATACTTATGCCTTGTTTATATTTTTTTCTTATTTTTGCCTACTCTATCATGCTTAATTATTTTATAAGTTTTATAAGTCAGTCATTCAATACTTACTGTAATGAGTGATTTAGATACTTCATTATCTTCTGATATTTTGATTGGATATTAAAGAATTTTTTATTTTTTCAATTGTTTAACTGAGTAATCTATCGCGTTATGGTTAGTGTTGTTTATATCATGAATTATAGAGTTGCATTTATTTGTTCAGTTGGTTGAAAGTTTTCCAGAATTTATGTTTCTTTTAAATGCAGAACTTTGTTTTAGAATTTTATTTTTTTAAGAATTTTATCTATAGACTCTTGAATGTGAACCGGTGACTTGTACATATTCTCGTAGATCATTTAATTATTTCTATGCATGCTTGCTTCTATGCTTATCTATACACTATCAAAATTGGTTCCAGACCTTTAGATTAAATGGTTGGAAAATAGCGAGAATCAATAATGATTCCAATCTTTTTTTAAAAATAACATAGGAAATCAGCCACCATTTTAATCTTAATTTGTTCCCTCAGTAACTTGATTACGTGAAGTTTGTTGTATTTTTTAGCGAAGATTCCATCTTTACGGAATTGTAGTTCTCTCGCGCTGTGCACTAAAATTCCTTTGAACAGCTGTAAACCACGCTATAGTGTTCATGTATTATTTGAAAACTATTTTTGGCGATGTTTTGTCTTTATTATTACATAGACATTCCGACTGCTAGACGGGTATGGTGCATTTCCATTTTTTGATATGTGGGTTGGTTGCATTTTTAATATTTTGATTGGCAGTCCAGTACTTGATGAAGTCCATCACATAAGCAGATCAAAATTTTTGTGGCTAGTTCAGCAGGCTCAAATGTCTGGGGTTTTTGTGGTAAGGTATGGAGTGTCATTTTGATCAATCATATCACAAATATACATTTCTGTGGCATGATAGCTTTCATTTTTGAATTTCTACTTCCAACAGAGGGTTCCTTTGGTTTATAATTAGTATTAGTTTGTAGTTATTAGGTTGTATCTCAAAGTATTCTTAACAATTTCATCGAAACGGAAATACATTAAGTTCAAACTGGTAATAGGATGACGTCCTGAAATCAAATGGAAACTGCATCTAAAGTTGGTGTAGATATTCTGTTAATCTTAAATAATTGTTGATCACAACTATTTAGTATTCATAAGTTAATGGCTCGTGAGATCAACATTTGAGAGCACAAGCAAAGAATACTGAGGTAATTATAAAGATCTGGGCAAGGACTGAATAGCTAGTTCGATGACTGGGTGCTGAATTGACTGTAGAGTTTTTCTCATCATAGTCGAGGAAATCTGATGGTTCAACTCGCATTCGATCGTAATATGTTGTCAGTAAATCTAGTATGACTCCATTTGACCATCCAAAACCGTCCTGCAAATTGGGTTCGATTGTTCTTAATATATACCGGTCTTATTCGTTGACTTTAGTGTATCATTTTAATTATAGTCAATAAACGTATGATAAGATATTGATTACCTGGACATCGTATTCACCACCAATTCCAGGCTGCTGTACATTACCAATAACATTGTACTAAATAAAATTCATTAATTGTAAAATTAAGGGGCTTAAATTTTTCAGATGTAATCAAGATTACAATTACAAATTGCGTTTAGTTGTAATTATTTCTTAAACTTTTAAATAGTAGTAGAATTTCACCTTTTCCCACATTTTGCCAGTTTCCCGGAATACTCGATAATTCCCCAAAATCCATTTTCTGGCCAAATGATAAGCCTAAAAACTTCAAAATTATAAAAGTGCTGTTGAAGGAAATAACTGCTGAAATAAGAATTATTGCTTCAGTGTCACATGTACCTCGTCATTACGACATGATGTAATTGCTGAGAAGACACAGTTACAATATTTCATGTGTAAAAAGTGTTATTACCTGTTCTTGCACCACAGGATTACTGGATTTTCTCATTCCTTCAATTATCATATGATTAATCGGACTCCATCCATTGGGGAAATCCCATTGTTGATGTGTATTTTTAACAAGACTGGTTGGTACTCCTCCTGGATAATGAAAGGCTCCTGTCTTCTAAAAATTTGCAAATTATTTGATTAATTATTGTTAATTAAATGTCTAACAGTTTCTTAAATGCATTTGACGTGATATTGACAATCATTTAGCAAAAAAGACTGTAATCATAATAATTGCAGAACAAACATTTAAGTATTCGACGATTTGTTGTGGTCTAGCTAAATTTAATGGCTGATAGCATTCACCAAATAATGGTACCGCAAGTGATGGATAATAATCAGTGTTGTGTGATTCAGTCCGTAAATTATAATCAAACCAAGTACCTTCTGTCTTATTGTAAAATACTACGAGCATTGCAAAGCGAAGTGCTTCTCGCTTATCACGAAATATTTTCGATTTTGAATAATTTTCTTAATTAAAACAAATTTTGGTTACTAGAATAGTATAAATTACTGCTACTACCAGATGTGACAATAAATGTAATACAATAAAACAAAAAATAACTCATTACTTTTGCTCGCGAAGAATAAAGTATGCAAGTAATTACTCACTCATTTTAGTTTGTAATAATAATTAACATGAGAGAATTATCTAATTACATATTGACCTCAATATTGAGTGATTAATATGGTTAAACAAAATTACCAGCAATTACAAATAATTCAAATGCTACTTTTATTTGTAAATATTCTATGAGTAAACTTTGAACTACTTTTGATTAAAAATAATTTGTATTACTTTATACAGTTAATTGCTCGAATTTCAATTTTGTAGTATTACTAAGGCAACGTTAATTCGTCAAAATAGAAAATAATCTTGTAGATGCATTAGTCTTCTTTTAGTCGAAATAGTTGATTAGCATTTTCATGACAAACGACTTTTTACATTTTAAATAAATTCTTATCATTGCTTATTTCTCATTTTTATTTTGTTTTATTTTTACTGATATATTTTCTAAGATTACCTGTACGTTTCAGCAAATATTGTAAAATTTCTAAATTCCAGCAAATAAGAGCATTCAAATCAATGGGAATAATATCTGTTGTCTCAATGCTTTCAATAGTTAATTTGTCTTTAAACCATCGTGAACTAAAATCCCATCCAGATTCTGCAGCTGATGCGATGTCCTACAAGTGTACCTTGGAATTCACTTAAAATTCAAACTTTGAATGCTTTATATTTCATGATTTTTAACTTGTTATCCGAAGTAATTTTCAGGACAAACTGTGTAAAATTTTGCTCTTTTTTCAGCTGGAAGATGCGATGCATGAATGATATCTACACGATATGACTCTGGTCGAGGCACATTACTTTTAGTGTTGTAATTAAAAACTGTATAAATATTTCCTTTTTCATCTGATACATTAATAGCCCTGAAATTTAAAATGCATTATATTTGTAATCCAAATAAACTATACTTTAACTTTTCAGTGAATAAAAAACTTTCGATACTTAATTTCTTTTTAGGTTCATGAATTCAAATCTCTTCTAAGATAAATTAATTTATATCGCAAGGTTTTTTTATTATTTTTAAAATAGAAATGCACCTGTTATTTTGCCAAAATTCATACTCCTTAATGAGAGTTGGTAAAACTTGGTTAACAAATGCGATATCATGAGTTAATTCAAAATACTCGTAAACCATAGGAATGAGCATTGGTGGTTGTGATCGCTGAAGATAATATACTCGACCCCCATTTGGAACAAATCCATATCTAAAGTATGGAACGTAAGATTTGAAACATTTAAAAATTTTTAGAATTCATCAGTTGAATTGCATATGCTTTTGGAAAAACTTTACTATACAAGTATCATTTTCTTACGAATTCTGGGAGGTAAAACACATTAATTTAGAAAATATTTAAATAATATTAGCTAAAAATATGTCAAAAAAAAATTCATACCTTTTTACAATACTCACAAAATTTATAATCATTTTTCTGATTGCATTATGAAGTCCGCTAGCTGCCAAACCTTTTACAACCCAGTACGCATCCCAGTAATAGAATTCACGGAACCTTCCACCAGGTACAATGAATTCTTCAGGCACATAAATTAATGAATGTCGGTCTGGATGTTCGCTTCGTTTCACCTATGAAATATAATTAAAATAATTTAGTCTCATTTTATGCATTACTTTTTCAAATAATCCTTTTGCAAATAGAATAACTTAAATTTTAAACTTAAAATTTTCAATACTTTGCATAGTGATATAAAGAATAGAAAATTATTGTGTCTTACTTTTCTGCATAAATTTTTCCAAATTTTGTTCAGTTCTAAAGCCCATTTACGTAAAACAGGATCTTGAATTCTTCGTAGCTTTGGTGGGAACTCAGTCCACTCTTTCAGCTGACAGTTTTCTAATTCAGCTCCAGGTCCTTCAAAGTATTCTTTAACAAATTCCATTAGTTTCGACGCATTGATATCTTCCAGTTCTTGTGCACCAAAACGTCGATTAAATTCTGCATCTACTTCTTCTGAAGTTCAATCATGATACACAGCTTACACATTAATATTAAAAAACATGTTTTGAAAATACAAACTTAAAAAATATTGATATTTAATTTTTCAATAAATTTTATTTCTTTAAAGCACTCATATATGCATTGTATTCTTCATCCTAACATATTAATTAATCCAACCGATTATTTTACAGTTATTTTAGCAAAAACTAATTCAAAAAATTAATCGTACCTGGATCATATTTCATTGTCATATCCACAAAAGTCTTCGAATCATTGAACAGATTATGCACATTTACTGCAGCTAATAACTTGCCATAACAATATATAAATCTATGAAAAAAATTAAAAGACGTATAATATACAAATTAATAGTATTTTTTAGATTAAATATTGCTTCTTTTACAACATATCTTTTAAAACATACGAATTGTTGGAATTTGTTTCATCGCATACATTTATAGACTGATTATTAAAAGATTGTCTGACAACTTCCGCTAATTCAGCAATACTGGGATCCTCGTAAGCTTTCAATTCATCAGCATATCCATTAGCCAAAAAATAAACCACAATACCCAAGGAAATTGTAATGATTTTAATCATGCCTGAATTTCTCCTCGTATTTGAACCAAACATATATTTCTTAAAATACGCGCGAAAAAACACCCTGTAATTAAATGCACTGCTAAAAATTAAGTTATTAATGAGTTAAAGTTCCTAAAATTACTCCACGATTCAATTAAATTAAGCAAGCTGGAATCTGACAATTGCATACAAACATAAAATTTCGTTTCTACAATATTTCTTATAAATATTTGATATTTCTTTTAAATAATGCATTTTAAAATCAAGAAAACATTAAAATGTCAACTTTTAGGAGTTTCCTAAGTTTATGAATATTATGTCTTGAATTTTTTATGTTGTTTCAAGTAATGAATAAATAATCCTCTCAAACATCCATCAAAATCAGTGCAAATTTTATTTAATATCATCTATTTCAAGACATTTATTTATTCGTCTATCTTCTATTTTGTCACTTAAAACTTAATCTCTCATTCAAAAACTCAACCTTTTAGCTTTTAATTGCAAAATATCAATAAGAGTATATACAAGTTTTTAAGAATAATTATTTTTAAGAAAGTAAATTTTTAAACTTTCAAACTTGAAATAAAAAATTATAAATGTTACAATAACTCAAGATTTGAAAAATTAATCTTTAAGAAAATATCATAATTTCATAGTATTACAAGAGCAAAAGTTATCAATAAAGTAATCCTTAAAAATGGGTATTTAAATAATAAAAGTAACAGTGATATATATATATAATATGTGCATGCACAATATATGAATGATGACAAAAGCTTTATAATGTTTACTTAGATTTATAGAAGCAAATATTTAGCAATTATATTTCAAAGTTTGACTATTAAACCATTTGAAAGAAATTTTTTCTGCATAATCTAGGTGTAAGCATAAATTGCCTTAACTTTTTTCTATCACTGATCAAAGAACAAATGGCAAAAAGTTGTTAATAACTTTCTGATATATTTTACTGTTTTAATAACAAAAGACGACATGTTTGTCAACAGCAACGAATTGAAATAACCAGGCATAATGCGTGAATTTCGACTACTGACGCATGAAAAGAAAATGATTTATTTTTTATAATACTACAATTGTTGTGCGTAATTATTTAAAAGATATTTGAATATTCCTTTTTTAGTTTTTTTTTCTTTTTTCTTTTTTTTAAGCAAATGAATTTTCTTTTAAATCTATAAAATGAAAAAGAAAAAATTAAATTTTTAAAATACTTTAAATTTTGTTGGTACACTGTATATCATTTGAAAGTTTGCTAGATCTGATAAGCAACTTTGTGGGTTAAATTTTGCAAAAATTTTGAAAATTTTTTACACAAATAAGAAAATTGGTTTTTTTTTTCTTTTTTTTGATGGCAAGAAGAAAATTGTAATCTGAAAAGAAGCTGTAGTCAACTAAAGTCAAATCTAATTTGACATGTAATTTATTGAATTCTCAAAAAATCTATGATTATGGACTGAATTTCTTATATTTGCATCTTGAATAAAAGTAAAATTACTATACATTAAAAGTTAAAGTATTTGTGAACTATTTTTTTATGTAATATTTGCTAGAAAAGCTTAAAAGAGCTGAATCTTTTAGATATGTCATAAATATAAACCAATAGGAAATTAGTTTTCATTAGAAAAAAAATGATCTGAGTATTTTTTCTATTTTTTATTACAATAATTTAACTGCTCTACATTACTTGTCCTTTGGTAATGTTGACGAAGAAAAATTTGAAAAATATTCAAGCATAGTGATTTTAAATTTGATGGTGTTTTTAGTTTCGTTTGGTTCTTATGAATGTAAAATTTACATAAACTGGGATTAAAATTAAAATACTGATGCAAAACAGTGCATCGAAATAAATGTAATATGGCATTTTAGTTTGGATTTTTAGAAAAATTGTCTTATTATAATGCAATAAAATATACTTACGATAAAAAATTTTGACATATTTTACATTAAATAATAATTCAAAGTAATATCTTACTTATATTACTGAATAGAGATATTCAAAATAATATCTTACAAAAATAGTTAACTTATATTATTTGCTGCAGTAATAATGTAAATATAAAATTCATTATATATTCAAAAATTTCTAGTAAAATGAATATTACAAAACACAGCATTAAGTATTACAAGACAGTTAAATATGAGAGAGTTAACAAACATACTACGCAACAAAAGTTATGATAAGTTTGCATACAAAAACTTACATATTAAATGACGACTTTTTTTTGTAAATTAAACGAAAAAAAATAGAATTTAATACAACAAAGCAAGCAGAAAAGTGTATGTTATTCATAAAAATGCTTTTGGAAATATGATTGTGCACTACTACTGATTATCACAGTTTTGCTTGATAAGAGATTTTTCAAGCTAGCAAAGAGCAGACAAACAGATAGTAATAATTACTGATGTGCTGATCCTCTTAAATATCATTCAAGCATTTTTGCCTTCTGGCAACAGTCCTCTTTGTAATTTTGTCAATCAGTGATTGCTGTTTGCATTTTATTAATATGTTTATGCATATTTAACTTTTCTGACTAGTGAAATATAATCTATTTACTGCTACAATGCACATTTTAACATTTTAGTATATATTTTGTAGTCAATATAAAAGCAAGTCTATGCTTGGTAATAATTTAATAGTTAATTAATTGCAGTGTGTATAAACATTTTTCAGCTTTAACAATACACACCGAAAAAGGTAGCGAAAAAAGCTCTAAATTAACCTATGTTATCAATTAGCTTTAAATCATCAACTTAAAATTACGATATTGAATTTCAAATTGCTATCTTTTCGATAAAATTAATAGTTCACATAAATCAAACAGATTTTTAATTAGCAATATTTTTTTATCCATTTATTATATCAATTACAAAATTTTTGGAAATAAAAATTAGCACACTTTATTTTAAATTGCTCTATTATCACTTGTGTTTCATTAAATTGCTACAAAGAAACAAAATTTGATAGACAAAAATTATGGAATAAAT